TATGGAAGTAGTAGGTTGTCCAAATATTTTCAGCTCATAACCGATATAACAGATAAGTTCAATGATCATATTCCTTGCAGTGATAAGCCATCGCGTTAACAGGGAAACAAATAGTCAAGGTTCATAATTTATTCATATACTTCATTGTTGATTGGGCGTTAGAATTTAGTCAAGTTCCCGAATTATTTCTGTTGGCACTCCGCTCACTATGAAGACATTTTAAGCATTTCGACTGGCTTTATTTATTGGAATACGAACTCATAAATCGTCTACCCATTTGTACTAAGAATGTGAAATTCAAGCAACACTGAATACAACCAACCAGTCTTCTGAAAGCCCGGATTCACAGAGGGCGAATCATCTGGATAATTTGAATGCAGAGTGAATGCCTGCCTGACATCACCTGGCAGATGGCGACCACAAAATCAGAGTTTCAAAGCCGTGAAAAGGTTATCCATGTTCGCGTAAGTTCCAATCAATTGTATCTCATCTAAGCCTGAGAGGTTGAACGGTTGAACATCCGGTCGTGCTTTCAGAGATACACTGTCCTGAGCCCTTCCTTTCTCTGACTGAATTATATTCCAATTTGTTATTCTTACTAATTTTGACGATAATATTTTATGTACCTTCGTTCATGGAGGTGATGAGGATAACCAACGAACCGTAGCAACTACCACCACAAATCACAATCAACAGGATATCCTTAACAGAGTTTGCCCCCTTCACTTATCCGGCTAGGTAGCGGCTTTTCGACTACAAGCTTAATGGACGGGATGACAGAGTCAGAATCGGAAAGGCAAGGTACACCTTCATCAACCTGAAACCAGTCTAGCAATCTCCCACACTCCGCATAAGGAACCATATTCTCAAATCAAACACCGATGTGAAATCTGTCGGTGCTTCTATGCGGGTCACAAACTCGACCACGGTATCAAGAAAAGCATTTCCAACAGGTTATAGACTTCCATCAACACCTATAGACTTCACTGGCTTCATACTGAATTTAGAATAGCTAGAAAGAATAAGCGACAAGAAAATATGGTAGCAAACCAACAAATCATTCAACAAATATGTAAGAAACAAGGAGAACACCGCCGAATGACATCGCACGTCAGGATCGCGAGTAAAATCACAATGCAAAGTAATGAGTGGGTCGTCGTAAGGAGACACAGAGGAGATCGTGTGAGGAAGCGGTGAGAGTATGATCAATCGTGAAGCCAACTGAAGAGGGTGGCAGAAAACAGGAAAATGTGCAGATGTGCAGTTGAATCTCTGTGTCCACATCGGAACGCCAGGAAATAATATGTAACACATATCCTATTCAGCAAATATGTAGCAGATTATCACATAATTTAAGATACAGTTTTCCATTATTAGCCTTCAGGTTTGAGTATCCATTAATTTCAGGCGAGTACGTTGTTTGTCATTTGTTAAGGATTTATATGAATGTCATTCTGTTGGTGGAAAATGAGAGTTTACAGGCAATTGTCGTGACAGCTACAGAGGTTTGGCGTGTGGACACATTGACCCGTGAACCCCCGGTGACACTATTTGGTGAAACAACTAACGCTAATGCTAAATGAAGTCAACTATAGTACATTTCATTAAAACTAATGTTACATCTTCTGACTGACATTTGTTTTCGAAAACCTTGTAACCTATTCGAAAGTGAAACGCAGACATTCCTCAGATGAAATATGCATGAGTTTTGCTTGCGCCTAAGCAGATATTATTGCATACTGACGAATGTGTAATGAGCGTATTTCTTAAATAGAGATTTTCATTAATTTAACTGAATTCATCACATTTCTGTAGAACTTGTCACCTGAATACTCTACATACACGGAAATATACACAAACTTTTGAAATTGCACTGCGAGATATAAGACTGATTAGCAAATAAACTACATTGAATCACTCATGCAAAAAGGAATCTGTTTATATTGGTTTGCCATTGAAAGAGATGATGTACAAGAACTAGCCAGATGAATGCTCGATAAAGCTATCAAGATCACTTATTATTCCATAAAACCTGTTTGCCTTAACACCAACAATCGAGTGCTCCAACAATCCGAGAAGGACCAGTCGCCAATCCTCGACACTTCAAACTGCGAATATATCTTTGAGTGTGTTCGTGGAAGCAAATACATAGGTCATACATAGTGCGTCGGTGGCCCAGTGGTTAGAACTCTCGCCGACCATGCACATGGTCCGAGGTTCGATCCCCTGCCGACGCACACCTGATATCTATGGTCAGCCTGAAAAATTTGGGCTACCGAAATCCACGCTGCAAATTCCATACTTTACTAAAAATACAGTTTGGAATCAAGCTGTAATCGAAAATTAAAAAAAAGTAAATAAAAACGAAAGGCGATTGTCTACTCGTATTATAGAATAGTTGAAAACAGTTGAGTGCAAAGTGTCAAAAACCTGAATAACAAAACATCTTGTGGACTATGTATATTATATCGACTCTGTAAAGTCATTCACTATTGTCAGAGGACAAAGAAAAGGGAAGATGCCTGCAATTGCAGAGTCTTGAGCAATTCGAGTTTATAAACCAAGGCTCTGTGTACAAAAGGTGATGGTCATCCCCTAAATGTACCATCGTAATACGTTTTACTTAATATTCTACTTCTTATTATTACGATTATTCTTGATTCATTTATTATTTATTTATTTATTTTTGATTACAGCTTGATTCTACACTGTATTTTTGGTACAAGTATGGAATTTGCAGCGTGGATATCGGTAGCCCAAATTTCGCAGGCCGACCATAGATATCAGGTGTGCGTCAGCGTGGGCTCGAACCCCAGATCATGTGCATGGTCGGCGAGAGTCCTAACCACTGTGCCACCGACGCACCATCTTTTATCAGTAGCATTATCTTAACTGACTTCAACGGTAATATTATTGTTATCACTATTATCACTGTTACTATTGACATCAATCTCTTTACAATTCTTGATATATTCTTCAAAAACTATTTGTTTGTCTAAGTTATGTAATTGCAGCGTAATGCAATTTGTCCTAATTGTGATCTCTTATACCCCTCCCCACTTATCTATTCGAATATGACCTGGAAAACATTCGCACCTATCTTCCTGCATGATTGATTCAATGTATTTTATTTGCTTCTCAGTCATATTTCCCAATATCATTTAAAAGGTATATATGTATATATCCATGTATGTATGAGCAATAGTTCAACCGAAATTTGGTGAATTCATTTAATCCTGCTTCAATAACCTTTGTTGCTTTTTTTCAATTCACACTGAGAAATAAATGTTTTCAATTTACCTGAAGGTGAAAATGGTAAGAAACTGTCAAGTTTTCCCTAAGCACAGTTGTTTATAACAAGAAGCGAACTGTCGTATGTTATAGAAGAATCGACTGAGTTTTCAGTTTGACCACCAGATAATATTTTAATCAGTTAAGGTCAGTGACTGTAGGACCGAACCCATTTCAAAGTCCAAGGAGCTGAATTCCCTGCAGGATACCCAGGCACTGTATATTTCTAGATGTGACCAACAAAATCTTTCTTCCAGCCTTCTTTTCTTCAAAAGATTTATCAGGTATCCTTTCTTTCACTCATTAGGTGGCTTTCCTAATCCTAGGCTTTCTGTGTTATTGGCATAAGAATAACTACTGAGGAGTCCGCATCCTTTATCAGTGCTTCTGAAGCTGTATATCTGATCAGGCCACATTCGTCCCGCCTCGCTCTATCTATATCATATTGAAAATGCTGCTTCATTCGAAGAGTTGATGTTCACTGATTTTCTGTTTCTGTATAACTTCTAGGTGGTTTACCTAAGACCCAAGTAGTTCAAAGCTACAAAAGCACCTACTGCCCAATTGACAGTGAATCAATTTTGAGTAACCAACTTAAAATGTAAGTGCAGATGTGAAACTACTGATTGACGTGTTGATCATACTGTAGCTATGTTAGATAGTGAATCTTGATTTCTGAAGATAAAAACGCAAAACGGGTGCTCTACATGAACGAGTAAATCAGCGGATACACATAGGAGTGAACAAAAAGAATAAAAATTCTATATTCAGAATTAGTGGAGAATATTGAGTGGCAGGAGAATTTCCGTTTTGATTTCAATGTGGAAGCTATTGTTCACTGCAGGTTGCATCTTTTTTAAAGCATCGTCCAGTAGTTCTCCTTTATATGTGTTTATCGTGTGTAACAGTCTCTTCTGCAAAGATATGTAATTGTTTGTGTTTGTTTCCTTTGTGCTTAGCTATAAAACATGGTGGATAAGTATTCTGAATTAGAATCCTCCTCACAAGTGGGATTTCTTCATCTGTTAACGTCAAGTTGCAGGTTCTGTGGGTTATGTTCCGAGGGTTATCAGCAGGTTTTGGAGTATGACTTGTCACCACCCAAATTTTAACTTTTGTCAGCTGGTGGTTTCACGAAGTCCCTTTCCATACTATTCCGTTCAATTCCCTATTAAATGTATTTGTTAGTCTGAACTTCAAAAGCGAAATTTTTTTCAAGTTTCTGTTTCAACAATGATTTTGATGGTTGAGTGGTGACTATTCAAATATTGTCGTAGATCATTTAGTTCACTTTTATTATCACTAATGATGATAGTATCATCAATATACATTTTGTATAGAGAGTGACCATCAATAATCATTTAAAACGCTGAAAAATTATGGACCAAGTTTCACGTTGAAAAAATACTGAGAAGCCGAAATATACAAAACGTAATGTCACTACTTTTAATTCATGACGTAATTTTACCACCAATGAGACACATTCTCAACAGTGAATTTAATAAACATATCTAAATTGCTTATACTTCGGTTTGCATACAAGTACACGTGACATTATTGTCTGAAATCTATTGTGAATTAAAGCACCCCTTCACCATTCTACTATATTACAACAACTATACTAAATGCTGTCTGTTTTCACATGAGAAATGTATATATATATATATATATATATATATACATAAGAAAGAAACAAGTGACAACTTTGGAAATATAATATGCTCGGAACAATTTTGCTTATACTGATTTTCCAGAAGTGTTCATTATCGTACAACAGTAAGTGTCACTGCAGTTTTATACTCAATAACAAATGAAATTTCGATTGTAAGAAGAGAACTTGTGTACTGTGGTAGAGTATAATCCCATTATGAGAAAAAATTAATTTGATAAATTTAAATTAATTTATACTTAGGAGGCCCGACTATTTTAAAACGACTGCGGTTAATTTCGTTCTGGTTCATTTCATTTCAGAAATCTGCTTTTATCGTGAAGATGAAGGTTCTGGAAATCACCCACTGGAAAAGTATTATTATAATGCGACTATTGGAGAGTGTATGACATTCATCTACCTTGGATATGGAGGAAACGATAATAACTTTTATGCAAAAGACGTATGTGAACAAACGTGTAAATCAAGGTAATTGCATATCACATAAATGCATCATTTTAAAGTATCACAAGTTATTTCTCAGGTAGTTTGTCAAAATATGTGCCTAAATGAGATAGTCTATCCAATTTTCACCGTGATATAACTCAGAAATCGTCACAACCACCTCGGTGATACAGTGGTTAAGACTCTCGCTGATCATGCATATGGTACGGGTTTCGAGCCCACGCCGATTTTGTTGGTCACATCTAGAAATATACAGTGCCTGGGTATCCTGCAGGGAATTCAGCTCCTTGGACTTTGAAATGGGTTCGGTCCTACAGTCACTGACCTTAACTGATTAAAATATTATCTGGTGGTCAAACTGAAAACTCAGTCGATTCTTCTATAACATACGACAGTTCGCTTCTTGTTATAAACAACTGTGCTTAGGGAAAACTTGACAGTTTCTTACCATTTTCACCTTCAGGTAAATTGAAAACATTTATTTCTCAGTGTGAATTGAAAAAAAGCAACAAAGGTTATTGAAGCAGGATTAAATGAATTCACCAAATTTCGGTTGAACTATTGCTCATACATACATGGATATATACATATATACCTTTTAAATGATATTGGGAAATATGACTGAGAAGCAAATAAAATACATTGAATCAATCATGCAGGAAGATAGGTGCGAATGTTTTCCAGGTCATATTCGAATAGATAAGTGGGGAGGGGTATAAGAGATCACAATTAGGACAAATTGCATTACGCTGCAATTACATAACTTAGACAAACAAATAGTTTTTGAAGAATATATCAAGAATTGTAAAGAGATTGATGTCAATAGTAACAGTGATAATAGTGATAACAATAATATTACCGTTGAAGTCAGTTAAGATAATGCTACTGATAAAAGATGGTGCGTCGGTGGCACAGTGGTTAGGACTCTCGCCGACCATGCACATGATCTGGGGTTCGAGCCCACGCTGACGCACACCTGATATCTATGGTCGGCCTGCGAAATTTGGGCTACCGATATCCACGCTGCAAATTCCATACTTGTACCAAAAAGTATTACCAAATCTGTAATAAAAAAAAGACATATTGTCTATAAGCAAATAATTTTGGAATGATCTAGCAAGCCTTACACACCTAAAAATTACATGACTGTTTCAAGCAAGAGTAACTTATACATTTAACTAGTAATAATATGTGAATTCTGTGATCAGTCAAAAGGGTTGATGAAAACAAATATTTCATTATTTATAACGATTTTTTGAGAATTTTTATGTACTGTGAGTTGATACCTATGAAACTGAGACTTTCATTATTCATGTTGACTGAAAGTGAGAGGACAGTTTCTACTTTTATTAATAATTAGTCATAGTTCATAATGAATTTGCGGCACCTGATACCGTTTCATAATTCATTTCTTTCCTTATTTAAGTGGTAAATTCGATAGACGTAAGTTGTTGTTGGTAGAAACCTTATGATGGTTTAATTATGGGATATTTCACTCTCCTCACCGTTAGTGATTACAATCATCCGTTCAAGCTTTGAAATTTCAGAGTTTAAATTTTCGGTAGATCGTCAGGTTTTAGTGATGACTGAAGCCTTCTGTCTCGTTTGTGTACATAATAACCGATGGTTGGCTTCCACTATCGGTAACATTTGGTGTAAAATTGTGTTCTGGAAATATTTAGAGCGAAGGGATATATAACCTAATCCAAAAGCACAGATGAATTCATAGGCGAATAAATAGATGACTAAACTAGGCAGCTGATACTTCAGATGAGGTGACACTGCTATTCATCTAGAAACAAAAGTACAATCAGTGAAGATTTACAGTTCTCTCCAGAGATTTGTTTCGTCACATAATAAGTGTACCAAGGACAAACTGTACTGACGTAAAGAGCGGCTTATTGGTTGTAGATGCGATATAGCTGCTGTCGAGTATAATTACTTTCATCGATTTAATTTGACAATGTTGCTCAAACTATTTGTTATTTACCAGGTTATTTAATAGCATCCTGCTTTGCTTTGTGAGGATATAGTCACAAATGCGATGGTTCACACTACGTTTCAATAACTACAAATAAGTAGATTGTGGTCGAAGTGGTTCTTTTGACTGGAATGAGGTTTGAAATAAGTTTCCAGTGTGAATATAAAGATGTCTTGATTGAATCCCGGTGTCAATTAGACGCAATTCTCGCACATCACAATCTCCTTGAAGTGAAGTTACACTAAGTTTCAAGGAATACTGTAACATATTCTAATATACTAGAAGAGACCATTTTGAACTACTGACTAAATTTCAACTTCGTTTTTGATTTTCAATCAGTGATGTATATTCTGATGTCTTTATTCAAACATTCCATATCAATCCACATCACAATTGCACATCAATCCTCGAACATTTTGTTATCTCCGGACATCGAGCATCCCCACACGAATGCTTCACAGTGGTACACAGAGTCCCTCAATATCGTACAAAAGGACTCCGGATACGACATCTGTACATAGCTGAGGCATTAGCTATTCGTGACCTAAAACCTGACCTATGCATACAAAAACGATGCAAACATTCTCCAGCCCTACCATGGCCAGAGTAAATTTCTTACTATAATTTTTCTCCTCTCTTTTATTATGTAAGTTCACTATTATTTATTATTATTATTACTGTTCTTAATACTTTTATTATTATTACTATTCCCATCATCCACATTTTATTATCACTCTATTACTGTTTATTAATAACATTGCTTTCCACACAGATCTTATGCAAAAATACTTTATAGCCTTTCCACTAGTTCCTGTCCATTCTTCACTAGCTTATTGATTAGTCATTATCTCACACTTATTAGGTCATGCCAACTTCTGTCTCCTTTCTAACTTACAATTAGTCATCCCTTCTTACACCTCACATTATGTAGTGGAATTTTCAAGGACAAAATTTACCAGTATCTGATTGGTCAAAAAACTTATGTGTTTAATTATAATTACGATTGTACAGCTCATGAAAATGAATCGTCGAAAAGAAAATTTTCTTCGCTGTTTGTGCCTTTTCTTATGACTCAATATGGGAATATTTCATTCATTGCATGTATGTTTGAAGCAATACATTTATATCACCTAATAATTTGGTACGTTAAAGAAATTGAGCTCACCACTTCATTTTCATCCACATCCAGTTGATTGATAGTGTAATTTGAGTGAATATAAATGGTTGTGGTGAATGCATTTCGCAAGATCACTTATTCCGCTGATTGATTGGTTGTCGTTCTGTACTGTCCATGTGAAACGAAATCTGTCCCACCTAAATTTGCCTTCGTATGTGAGAAATTTCTAATCGTTCATTGTCTAATTTACTTGAGAAAGAATTCGTCATAATCTGAAAAGTATCGAAAGCCATCATTAAGGAAGATGGGTTGTTGCTTAACCCATTCGTTGATACTGTTGTTGATTCACGCATGGACTTCTGGAAGAAATTATCAAATATTATCCTGTCAGTCTCTGAACACCCCATCCGTACACAAATCTCCCTCTTTCGTCTCATCGAGTAAAAGTAGAAGAAATAATGGAGGATTGTGTGCTTGGATAAGTGTGGACAGGAATTCCGCAATGACTTATTTAGGACACATTTAGTGATGAGAAAAGTGTGTGACAGGAAAATGGAAACTCACTGAAGAACTCTCAAAAAGTGGCATTTGATTCTGTTGTAACTGTTACAATGGCGTGAGTATTTCCACTTGATATAGTTCAACATTCGTTTCTTATTGAATAATAATAATGATAATGTAAATGGCATATTTTAAATACTGTTTGGAATAAAGCTTTTATTAATAATTTATAACGGTTACACGATTATCAATGTTTGATAAATGTTTGAATAATTTTAGGCAACTGCCATGAACCTTGCCTTCGAAAAGAATGCTATGATAATCACAACCACTACTACTATGATACACAATTGAGGAAATGTGTACCCTTTGGATGGACCGGATGCAACAAAAATGGAAATGACTTCCGGAGCTACGAGGAATGCATAGCAAAATGCGGATCGGTGTATGTTACTTTTTATATATCTTTATCACTGAAACATTTATTTCACAAGATAAATAAGACGGTTTTATTCACCGCTGGGTTACGCGTTCTTTTTAAAGTCTAAATCATATACAGTCTTCTTTTCTTTGCAACGTATGCACTATTTATGTAATGGTTGAAATAATTTCACCTATGTGAGCTAGTAACTTAGTCCACACTCCACTCTTTTTTGATAGAATATGGAGTTTGTAGTCAAATGGGCGTCACTGATCAAAGTATAGCTTAGATATTTATGTTTCACATCTGAACGATCAGCACTGAACAGAAAACTGGAAAACAACACCATTAAATACCACAGTTGATAGTTTCAATTGAAAAGTTTTACTTCTGAGAACATTATTCGACGATTCCATAGTTCTACTAGAAATATGATGCTGAATGCACTTTTAGAATTCAACAATAATAGCAAGACATTGACGATGTCTTTACCAAACAAATCCAGTTTGAAATTTGATTTATTTACTGTGAGCACCTGAAAATATGACGTGAAACCAATTAACTACTAGTTTCATCATTTTTTAATTATCCTCCAGTTTTATAGTTTCAAATATCCCCATATCATGAATTAAATGTCAATCTGAACGCAGAATATTCTATTCAATAATTTTTGTTCAGGTTTTTACAATAATAAAATAAATTACATTTGTTGTCATTACATTAATAGCCAGTTATGCGGGTGACAATTTTTACGTAGAATAACATATTAGTTATTGGGTGTCAAAACAAACAGTCGTATTTATCTGACAAACATGCTAGGCTAAAACGCATTACAAAATATTGTTAAATAGCAGACAATGGTGGTGATTAGTTATAATAGATTTTTAGAGTGTGGAATAGGAAAATTGACAAGTCAGTTCAAGGTTATAGAAGGTGTCAGGTGAGTTGCTAGTAAAAATTGGTACATATCCTGAAATTTATTAGATCAGACGACACACTACCGAAATATGCTACCACCTGAAAGATTATTCGGTTGATTTAGATGTCAGATCTAGTGATTTATTTATTCCGGTCAAAGTGTTCACAGAAGCATAATTTTAGTTGTGCTGTTTTCCTAGTTATAAAAACCATGCTTCTTGTCATATCCACACAAACGAACTAAAATGGAAAATGGGACATACTTGAAGTAGCTGTCTTGAATATCCATATTCACCGAATACAGCCAGAGAGAGGAAGTCAAACACCGTATGTTTACTAGTTCACGATTATATGCTCGGTATCCAGATATTATAATATGAGTTAATAATGAAGCAGATGGAAGTAAAACTGATTTGTTCTAATGTCACTGTATTTTGATCAAATAACACGTAGTTTCAAGTGGTTTGAACATTAAACTACTGGGCACTGTTAGATTAACAAATTTCAGTCTTTCATAAAACGCGCATTCAAACAACCTGATTAATCTATTTGATAATTTAATCATATAGTAAGTAGTATGAACCAAAAAATAGCGTTGATTTAAAAAATGTGTCACTCTCATTGGAATGTTGATTACAAAATTAAATAAAAACAATATCTGTTGTCATCATATTCAATTAATTAATTTAAAATCTTTTCTCCAGAAGCTGTCTTCCTCTAACAAAGATATTTCACGTTGAATTGTTTTAGAGAAGCTCGGTATTTCTCAAATAAACGTGAGTTCTTTCAGGATAAAGTTTATTTTTCAGCTTGCATTTTATGCATATGCTTGATCTAGGGCATACACATTCTACAAGAGACATTTCATATATATATATATATATATATATATATATATAAACGCACAGTTCATAAATGCATTTATATATTCGATTCCAATAACATCTGGAAGGGGTAAATAAGCTCTCAGGTAGACAAAAAAGATATGCTTAGTTAGATATCAGATATCGAAACTGACCGCACAGAACAAGCGCCTCATTCAAGATAGTGAAATGAGACGCTGTAAACTTCAATCATTTTCAGAAATACCTTATGAGTAGTGAAAACCTCGTAAGTTGTCAAAACTATAAAGTTTGAATTTCTTGTCACGGGACAGTGTTTCTAAATAAAAAAGAGGTTAATATGCTCAAATGCATTCGACGATCACCATCAAATAGTTCAGATTTTAATACAGTGATAATCGAAATTCATTCTCATGAACGTCAAATATCTAAAGTAGTCTTTAGAGAATTTCCAAAAGTTTGCAGTACTTATTATAAAGGCAGTAAAACAAGTGAGATCATATTTACTTTGCCAAGTGCAGATAAATAACTAAAATTGCGGTTTCAAACGTTTATACATAGCTGTTGATGCAATATTTTGTCCAGTTATACGCATACTCATCAGGAATCAACAATTTCCATGACGTATAAACTTGAATCATATCATGATTACTTGTGAACAGCACTATAAATTTTCATCTAAAAGTGTAATGGTGATTGTGAAACGGATTTTATTATATTTTTAAAAATTGGACAAAAATATAAGTAAATATTTTGTCTCCTTTATGATAAACAAACATCACAATCAGAAAACAATCATTAATTGAAATTGAACATTAATGAACGTGGGCTGTGCAATTCTTAGCATATACTGGAATAACCGCTCGAAATGTATGAAACATTAGCCGCAATTTTCACTGATAGACCACCTCCTAGATTTTTCAACTTGGAATAATAGGAAAATTAGAATCCCAAATTATCACTAATTAATAAGGTTTCAAGAATCATTTAGACATAAATAATTTAGGTAAACTAGCAGAAGCAATGTATTTACCGTGACAATAAATTATAAATAAATACCAGATACAATGTCAGAAGTACAGAAGACCAATACATATGAAAAGAGACAGAACGTATAGGTGATGAAAACCAGAAATCTGAGTAGAAGACCAAAAAAGAATAAGAAATGTTGCAGCATATATCAAGATGTGGAAAATGTAGCTATCAAAAGAATAAGAAGCTATCAGATACTCCCATGCGTGCGTTAATAATCTCTATGTGACACATTGGATAATTTGACAGTCAGTTGTTGTCGACATCTTCAGATTTCCTTGTGTGTGTGGGTGTGTTACGTACTTTTAATGAGGCTGATCATTTGCTTGGTGTTAGCTCATAAAGCTGAAAGGTATTGCTATCAAATGTTATCATCACCGTCGCAGATGCAGAGAGAAAATCTGTCAATCGGTGACTTACATACGCTCCATAAAATTACTGATCAATCAGGTTCTCCATGTACTGGAGACAAATGTGGCTAGAAGCAGGCTTGTATACAGCAGTGATTTGTCCAAACTCACCAAAATCCCCAGATTGTAATCACGAATAAAACATCAGAATTCTGTCTCAGTAAAACAAAATCATTCAAATAATATTGATTATAAAAATTAATACAAGCGTATTCACAACTCTGCAGCAATTTCAACACGTAAGATCATGTCACATTTGAAATTACATGATAATGATAAGAATTAAATTGTATATGCAGTGGGGTGAAAACAAAACAATTCAGATAGTTCAAATCAAGCAGTTAGGTATGAAAATAAATAAAACTATTAGAGTTCATTGGTCGATGTTGACTGGCAGAGGGACACAGGACAGAGCATTACAGCTAGAATAATCGATGTGATTATCGAAGCTTCAATGAAACATATAACAGAATCGAAATCTCTATATAATCTCGCTGGTTATATACATATAAAATAATTTCACTGATAACCAGAGACACACAGCGTTGAATGAAACTGTGATTAGAAGCTGACGCAGCTTCAAACAACAATCTCTGCCATACACCAGCAATCACTTCAGACTTACGCCAGTCCCTAGAACATATTGTCAATCGAAGCATATAACAGTACTCATCTGTTCGTCAGACAATGTGACTTCATGATCGCTCATCACGAAATCGGTCAGCTAACAAGATAACATGTGTGTCCCCAATTTCATTCGTCTTCAAATAACTCGAATCAAACATTCCACTGTATAGCATCAATTCAGTGCCTCAAACGAACCCATGATTTCCCATCTCATACTCATAAGTAACACTACTTTGACGAAGAGAGTATGCGAGTTCACGGAATCCACACATTTCTGCTGAAAGCAGTGTGACATCCTTGTCGACTGCTCTGTGAAATTCACCATCAATCTATCTGACGAATTATTGTGGCGCAATCATTCATTGAAAGCATTAGAATTCCATGTATATTCCTACGACTCATAAGCATATTATGGTCTAGCTGGCTTTAAGGAATCACCAATTCAATACACGAAATCTAATTTCGAAACACATTACTGTTGTATATTCGCAGCTGTATAAATCTCCATCAGTAAATGACATGATAATTCAAAACTGACTTGGTTGTCTTCAGGAATGACACATGGCTGTGTGATATTATTTTATGTTATGCATGTGAATTAAACATCAAGTTGTTGTATTTATATTGACTGCGATTTAGCTACACCTAAACGTGAGTCCATATAATTCTTGAGTTTTCTCTCATACTAGTTCGACATCTTTGTTGAGTGTATCCGAAATGAAATGGCGCTGTATTTCACGCTTTTGTCCACCCACCGTCTAGGTACATTGTGAACATTGGTATACACATCACACAACTCACATTGTGTAACTTCTTCTAACCATTCTCATTTGCTTTCTATCGAACTGATTTAATCAGTCAGTCATATAATGCCATTTGTGATAAAATTTATTTTGATAAAATCGCACAGCGTTATACGGTATTATTTACCGTTGATAATGTTTTGAACTTAAATCACTGTTCTCAACCATATCAAGGCACTTATTCTAGAAAGTTGTTTGAGTGCCTTGATATGGTTGTGAGCGGAAAATTATGCTCGAAATGTCATCAGTAAATATTACCGTATAACACTGTGCGATTTTATACAAAGTGAATTGTATCCCTAATGGAGTTATACTCTAACACAGTGCAC